GGTGGAAAAATATTTTTTTCCTGATTGCCCTGAAAATCCCAAAAAATTCATAGACACTAATTCAAACCCATAAAGGAAGAATTCGATGTCAGATTTGATGGATAACTCTCCCTTTAGATTTTCAAAATCAGCGGTTCAAGCAATGCAGTAGGCTCATATAGGTGGGAAAATATTTTTTTCCTCATTGCCCTAAAAATCCCAAAAAATTCATAGACACTAATTCAAACCCATAAAGAAAGAATTCGATGTCAGATTTGATAGATAACTCTTCCTTTAGATTTTCAAAATCAGCGGTTCAAGCAATGCAGTAGGCTCATATAGGTGGAAAAATAGTTTTTTTCCTGATTGCCCTAAAAATCCCAAAAAAATCATAGACACTAATTCAGACCCATAAAGGAAGAATTCGATGTCAGATTTGATAGATAACTCTCCCTTTAGATTTTCAAAATCAGCGGTTCAAGCAATGCAGTAGGCTCATATAGGTGGGAAAATATTTTTTTCCTCATTGCCCTAAAAATCCCAAAAAATTCATAGACACTAATTCAGACTCATAATGAAAGAATTCGATGTCAGATTTGATAGATAACTCTTCCTTTAGATTTTCAAAATCCGCGGTTCAAGCAATGCAGTAGGCTCATATATAGGTGGAAAAATTATTTTTTCCCGATTGCCCTGAAAATCCCAAAAAAATCATAGACACTAATTCAGACCCATAAAGAAAGAATTCGATGTCAGATTTGATGGATAACTCTTCCTTTAGATTTTCAAAATCAGCGGTTCAAGCAATGCAGTAGGCTCATATAGGTGGAAAAATATTTTTTTTCCTCATTGCCCTAAAAATCCCAAAAAATTCATAGACACTAATTCAGACCCATAAAGAAAGAATTCGATGTCAGATTTGATGGATAACTCTTCCTTTAGATTTTCAAAATCAGCGGTTCAAGCAATGCAGTAGGCTCATATAGGTGGAAAAATATTTTTTTCCTGATTGCCCTAAAAATCCCAAAAAATTCATAGACACTAATTCAGACCCATAAAGAAAGAATTCGATGTCAGATTTGATGGATAACTCTTCCTTTAGATTTTCAAAATCAGCGGTTCAAGCAATGCAGTAGGCTCATATAGGTGGAAAAATATTTTTTTTCCTCATTGCCCTAAAAATCCCAAAAAATTCATAGACACTAATTCAGACCCATAAAGAAAGAATTCGATGTCAGATTTGATGGATAACTCTTCCTTTAGATTTTCAAAATCAGCGGTTCAAGCAATGCAGTAGGCTCATATAGGTGGAAAAATATTTTTTTTCCTCATTGCCCTAAAAATTTCAAAAAATTCATAGACACTAATTCAGACCCATAAAGAGAGAATTCGATGTCAGATTTGATAGATAACTCTTCCTTTAGATTTTCAAAATCAGCGGTTCAAGCAATGCAGTAGGCTCATATAGGTGGAAAAATATTTTTTTCCTGATTGCCCTGAAAATCCCAAAAAATTCATAGACACTAATTCAAACCCATAAAGGAAGAATTCGATGTCAGATTTGATGGATAACTCTCCCTTTAGATTTTCAAAATCAGCGGTTCAAGCAATGCAGTAGGCTCATATAGGTGGGAAAATATTTTTTTCCTCATTGCCCTAAAAATCCCAAAAAATTCATAGACACTAATTCAAACCCATAAAGAAAGAATTCGATGTCAGATTTGATAGATAACTCTTCCTTTAGATTTTCAAAATCAGCGGTTCAAGCAATGCAGTAGGCTCATATAGGTGGAAAAATAGTTTTTTTCCTGATTGCCCTAAAAATCCCAAAAAAATCATAGACACTAATTCAGACCCATAAAGGAAGAATTCGATGTCAGATTTGATAGATAACTCTCCCTTTAGATTTTCAAAATCAGCGGTTCAAGCAATGCAGTAGGCTCATATAGGTGGGAAAATATTTTTTTCCTCATTGCCCTAAAAATCCCAAAAAATTCATAGACACTAATTCAGACTCATAATGAAAGAATTCGATGTCAGATTTGATAGATAACTCTTCCTTTAGATTTTCAAAATCCGCGGTTCAAGCAATGCAGTAGGCTCATATAGGTGGAAAAATTATTTTTTTCTGATTGCCCTGAAAATCCCAAAAAATTCATAGACACTAATTCAGACTCATAATGAAAGAATTCGATGTCAGATTTGATAGATAACTATTCCTTTAGATTTTCAAAATCAGCGGTTCAAGCAATGCAGTAGAGGCTCATATAGGTGGACAAATATTTTATTTCTGATTGCCCTAAAAATCCCAAAAAATTCATAGACACTAATTCAGACTCATAATGAAAGAATTCGATGTCAGATTTGATAGATAACTATTCCTTTAGATTTTCAAAATCAGCGGTTCAAGCAATGCAGTAGAGGCTCATATAGGTGGAAAAATATTTTATTTCTGATTGCCCTAAAAATCCCAAAAAATTCATAGACACTAATTCAGACCCATAAAGAAAGAATTCGATGTCAGATTTGATAGATAACTCTAACTTTAGAATTTCAAAATCAGCGGTTCAAGCAATGCAGTATAGGTTCATATAGGTGGAAAAATATTTTTTTCCTGATTGCCCTAAAAATCCCAAAAAATTCATAGACACTAATTCAGACCCATAAAGAAAGAATTCGATGTCAGATTTGATAGATAACTCTTCCTTTAGATTTTCAAAATCCGCGGTTCAAGCAATGCAGTAGGCTCATATAGGTGGAAAAATTATTTTTTTCTGATTGCCCTGAAAATCCCAAAAAATTCATAGACACTAATTCAGACTCATAATGAAAGAATTCGATGTCAGATTTGATAGATAACTATTCCTTTAGATTTTCAAAATCAGCGGTTCAAGCAATGCAGTAGAGGCTCATATAGGTGGACAAATATTTTATTTCTGATTGCCCTAAAAATCCCAAAAAATTCATAGACACTAATTCAGACTCATAATGAAAGAATTCGATGTCAGATTTGATAGATAACTATTCCTTTAGATTTTCAAAATCAGCGGTTCAAGCAATGCAGTAGAGGCTCATATAGGTGGAAAAATATTTTATTTCTGATTGCCCTAAAAATCCCAAAAAATTCATAGACACTAATTCAGACCCATAAAGAAAGAATTCGATGTCAGATTTGATAGATAACTCTAACTTTAGAATTTCAAAATCAGCGGTTCAAGCAATGCAGTATAGGTTCATATAGGTGGAAAAATATTTTTTTCCTGATTGCCCTAAAAATCCCAAAAAATTCATAGACACTAATTCAGACCCATAAAGACAGAATTGGACGTCAGATTTGATAGATAACTCTCCCTTTAGATTTTCAAAATCAGCGGGTCAAGCAATGCAGTATAGGCTCATATAGGTGGACAAATATTTTTTTCCTGATTGCCCTGAAAATCCCAAAAAATTCATAGACACTTATTCAGACCCATAAAGAAAGAATTGGACGTCAGATTTGATAGAAAACAGTGATGTTAAGTCAAATGAAACCAATATGTTGCCAATCGTTCACCTTTCTCAAGAATGATGTTTTTAATTTGATTGATGAATTTCACGCTATACAGGGTGAGTCAAGCTGAACGCATCGGGCTATAATGGCCAAATGGTGAACTTACTGAGAAATAATTTTATTCAGGCGAAAATATGTCGATCTGGACTACATTTTAAAAATGTTGTGATGATTACAGAGAGTCTCGAGAATAGGTGGCATATCAAAGTTGTACTTTTTTAAATGGAATACCCTATATCTCATTGCATTTATGAATTCTACGATGAAAAATGAACTGACTTTGCTGAAGTTTCCCTATACCTAATTCTCTTAGTTTTCGAGATTTTTCAACTTTTCTAAAAATGTAAGGCATTAACAAAACCTTGATATCATTGAAGTACGATAATTTGAATGTACCAATTCTCAACATTGTACTTCCAATACTTCGATCTAATAGATGGGGCATAAGTGGTCGATAAATATTATACGGGGCGTTTTATATTGCCAGGTAATCTCACTGTAACTTCAAACTATAATAACTTGGTTGATTCGAATGGAACACTCAGTATTTTTTTGTTCTCGGTAATGCAAAATTCAATTCCTTTCCAAACTACACCATATTTCCCTACACTATAGTATCATTCATTCAGAGCTATCGCAGATTCTTCGATATACTCGAGATAAACGATTAATTTCCATAATAACTACATTTCATCGAGATGGCTGGTCTCTCTCAGCAAAGTTAGTTCATTTTTCATCGTAGTACTCAGAAATGCAATAAAATACACCCTGTATTCATCACACCATTTTTAAAATGTAGTCCAGATCGACATAATTTCACCTGAATAAAATTATTTCTCAGGAAGTTCACTGTTTGGCCATTACAACCCGATGCGTTCAGCTTGACTCACCCTGTATAACTGTCCGTAAAGTATGGAACAAATTCGATATTTCCTGAACTAAAGGCCTTTTCAAAAATATCTGGAACACGTCAATTTGTGATTTTGATGTTCTACATTTCAACACTAAATTTCATTTTACAGTGTGATACATACTACATTGAGGTGATGACGGCATCGGCAATTTTATCATATTTATGTAACATCCTCTATTTTTTGACCCCAAGCATAATACCTTCAGCTCATTTTCACTGATCTAAAAATGTCACAAAATATAGGGTGTTACATAGAAAAAAATTATCCATGGCGTCCTCACCTTTGTGTACCACCCTGTTGAATGAGATTTTGTGGTAAAATGTAGAACATCAAAATCAAAAATTGACGTATTCCTGATTTTTTTGAAAAGGCTTTTAGTTTAGGAAATATCGAATTTGTTCCATACTTTACGGACACAGTGTATATCTTTCACTGATCCTTGAGCCCATGAGAGTTATAATCAACTCGACTACTTTTCATCAATCATCCCGCAACAAAGTGACAAACAATAAGTAAAACTAGAAACCAATTAATCCAACGTCTGTACGTAATGTACCAATTTCATAACCTGTTCACTTTTCAGGTGTGTACCTACTCCCCGATAAGAATCTAACCATATTTGCATCCGAAAAAAGGCGATTTTTTTCGTAGAGGGTAGTACCCCGCCCCATCAGGTTTCTGGTACTCAATGGTAAGACCAAGAAATTGTGTAATAGACCGCGGTACTATAAATATAAGGCCCATGGTTGACATTTGTGAAACAGTCCATCCGAGTGGTAACTACAAGACATTTCATCTCTGCGTGTGCCGTGTTGATAAAAGGAAAAAAAACATGTTTATCGAGGTGAGTTCCTTTTTCTTATCATACAAATGAATTTCTTATCGCCACAGCTGTTCAATAAGAATGCAGAAACGGTCCAAAAATGCGCTATATCCATCTTGAATGTGAGTGTCCAAAAACCGTGAAAGATTACCACCTAACTGTTGGGAGTTTACATTAAAATACAATTTATTCGTCACGTTTCATAACCATATTCCATTTTATTTCCGTTGAATAGCCGATTATATGCTGGGCATTGACCTCTTTTTACATACAATCATATTTTCGTCATAACTATCATTCACATTATTGGTTAATTTCAAAATCACGTCAATCTCTTAGTTAACAGTGATTTTTTTATTTTTTCTCACTATTACATAAACATGAAATGGTGATCAATGGATGTATAATAGAAAAACCTGTTCAACGAGGGGTCACATGACCAATTTTAATTTTCAAATGAGCGAGTTGATACGAGTTGATAGTTTTTCGAAATCTGAATATTCTACCATTGTATAGGCAATTAAAATCCAATATCAATGAGGGGTCACACGACCTATTTTCACTTCCAGATCGGTGAGTTGATGGAATCAAAACAAAACATTTCGAACTTCAACTCTGAACACTTGCTACCTACCAATAGAAACAACACGAAAGTACCTTTGAAACCAGGGGTCACATTATCTATTTTCATTTTCAAATAAGCGATACGAGTTGATAGTTCTCCAATATACGAATCTATTACCATTGTATGGGCAATTAAAATACACTATCAACGAGGGTTCACACGACCTATTTAGTTTTCCAGATCGGTGAGTTGACAAAAACAAAACAAACGTCAACTCTGAACACTTGCTATCAATAGAAGGAACATGAAAATACCTTTCAAACGAGGGGTCAGACGACCTATTTTCCATTTCAAATAAGCGAGTTGATACGGTCCACCAAATCGGGATTTGGTTGACCGTATATAGTTGATAGTTCTCGAATATATTAATCTTCTCCCATTGTATAGGCAATTAAAACACACTATCAACGAAGGTTCACACGACCTATTTAGATTTCCAGATCGGTGAGTTGACAAAAACAAAACAAACTTCAACTCTGAACATTTGCTATCAATAGAAAGAACATGAAAACACCTTTCAAACGAGGGGTCAGACGACCTATTCTCCATTTCAAATAAGCGAGTTGATACGAGGGGTCACACGACCTATTTTCAGTTCCAGATCGGTGACTAGATGGAATCAAAATAAAAAAAAATTTCAAACTTCAACTCTGAACACTTGCTACCTACCAATAGAAACAACACGAAAGTACATTCGAAACCAGGGGGTCACATGATCTATTTTCATTTTCAAATAAGCGAGTTGATAGTTCTCCAATATATGAATCTTTTACCATTGTATAGGCAATTGAAATACACTATCAACGAGGGTTCACACGACCTATTTAGACTTCCAGATCGGTGAGTTGGCAAGAACACAAGAAAAACTTCAACTCTGAACACTTGCTATCAACAGAAAGAACATGAGAATACCTTTCAAACGAGGGGTCAGACGACCTATTTTCCATTTCAAATAAGCAAGTTGATACGGTCCACCAAATCGGGATTTAAATGATTCTAGATATCTGATACCTCATTATCATTCAGAGAACTTTGAATACGATCGCTTTCTCTGTGCATCCGATGTATTGATGGTTGTTTTTCTTTTTCAGTTCGTTCTGGTGAGCGCGTTAGCCGTGGTCGGTCAATGTAAACCGCTGTTGATTTCTCACGCACCAATAGCTCACTCTACAATCCTCCAAGAAACCATAGATGCACATCCACAGTACAAGTTCGAATACGGAGTCCAAGTAAGCAAAAGATATCATGAATATCATGGTTGTTTGTGAAATTAGAAGAAAATAACTTTCACATACTCAAGACACTTCTATACAGTGCTTTTCTTTAATGCCTCCCCCTTGTTTATTTTTTGAATGTGTCAACCCAATAAATTGAAACAATAACGATGGAACATTTAATAATTGTCTGAATACATCGACGCTTAACTTCATGATTTGAGGAAATAAGCTGAGTTCAGTTTAGAAGATGCTCCTCGAAACGGTTGTCTTTTCTCGTACACAATTCTTCATATAGCCTCATAGAAAGTCAAAAGGTGTCAAATCTGGCGAGCGAGTTGGCCAAGAACTGGAGGAAATATTATCCAAATAGTTTATCGCTTGTTTAAAGTAATGTGGTGGTGCTCCATATTGTTGGAATACAATATCCATATCGAATTTACCAGGATTTGCTTCGACGATTTCGGTGATTGGAGAGTCGAAAGTATTTTCAGCATATTCAAATACAGTTTGTTGAATTTTGTTTAATGAATAGATATTTTTGTTTTTGTATTCAGGCGACTATGTTCTGTCATTTTGTAGTAGGTGAAGATGTAGACTTTATATTCTGGCGTTGTGAAGTACTCGTCAGGAGCTTGTGTCACAAGACATTTAATTTGTTTTCTGACATGGCGTCCAGTCGCCATCTTGAAATTTCCATCTGTCAATCCTACTTCAAGATATATTATTCATGCATCAATTTTATTATCTCAAGTTTCAATTTTTTCAGCTGACCCATTCAAAAAATGAACGGGCGGAGCATCAAAGAAAAATGTCAAACGATCGAATGGTGAATAACCCTATTTCAAGACAGAGAAAAAGATCATTTGAAACAGTTGTCCGCGATGCAATTTCAAAAGTTGTTACTGTAATAAACCACCCTGTATCATGTATCAATGCGTAACACGGTCTGATTACATCGTTTCAACAACTCGCCCTGTATGAATTACAGATGACGAATGGTAATTAAAGCAGGAAATCGATATTTCGCAGTCATATGCAATAGATAGGAACATTTATAACGTTGAATGATAGTCCTGTTTAGTAGTTAAACTAAAACAAATAAATATGTTATGGTGGGCAATGAACTATAGGAATATATCATTAATTTTTCGCGGGTTTTTCAGTTTCTTATCGATTTGTCTAAAGTAGTTTCCTTCCACCCATTTTCCTACTAAGAATCGAAAATATCCATCAATCATTATTGAATAGTTCGCATCATTAGACTGTAGATACTCTGCTACGACTGTACATAGTGATCAAAACATGATATACCAGAAACAAAGATTGAATTAAATATGAAAAGATGTTCTAGCGTTAGGTATTATACAAAATTTGGATAATTTGTTCTTCTTCGAAAGTAATTACGTCACTGTTTATACCTTGAAGCATATTTGTAAAGAAATGATAATTATCAAAAATTTGAGGCTCAATATTAAAACGAGAAAAAACGAGAAAAGAGAAGAGAAAGACAAAGGTGATAAAAGATTTTTAATTCTCCACAAAATTCATTCAGAAAAATTAGCTCCTTTCTTATAGCTGACACTGACAAAAATTTACCTTTTCGAAGAATATCTTGTCACTGTGAAACAAAGGAAGATATGTCCCAAATTCGATCCCCACCATTGGGATCTCCGTAACTATAAGAGATAGAGACTCGATGAAATTACGAGAACAAAAAAGAAAAACTAAAATTTTCTAGTTTTGTTTTTCTCGAATATCTGGAAAACTATTGATTGTATGAAAAAATATCAACAATTCAACACGTTCTAGTGATCTTTTGAATGTTTTTTTCAGTTTTTGTTCAAAATATTTATTATATGACCTCCGATTGATTTCTTCTTATGAACGCCATATTGAATTCTTCCAGATTTGAAATTAGCATCAAATCTCCTTCCTAGGGTACCATCAAAATGTTAAAGTAGTTTTTTCATAAAATCAGTTATCGAGATATTCGAGAAAAACGAACATACAAAATTGCTCATGATCTCCTTCCTAGGGTACCATCAAAATGTTAAAGTAGTTTTTTCATAAAATCAGTTATCGAGATATTCGAGAAAAACGAACATACAAAATTGCAGCTTTCCTTAAGTAACTCAAAAATGACTAAAGCTAGTCTGGATTTCTCCACAAATTCTGAATCACGATTGAATTTACTAAAACTGGTGAGGATCGAATGTGGGACACACTGTATTGAAGTATAGACCTTATAGAAGCAGTAGTAACTTTTGAATGGAATATTAATTATTGCATTTTTTAATCCTGCATAATTATTATAACATTTGATCCTCCAAACTTCGATATTTGAATTCAATTTTTAGTTTTCCATTCCTCAAATTACACCAACTGTCATCTTTCAAAGTGTGTTTTTTTCCAGGATCACTCGACGGGTGACATGAAAAGCCAACAAGAAACTCGCGACGGCGACACAGTCAAAGGCAGCTACAGCCTAGTGGAACCAGACGGCAGCAAACGCACTGTAGATTACGTCGCCGACCCCATCAACGGTTTCAACGCAGTAGTACGCAGGGAGCCGCTCAATCACCCCCAAACCGTAGTCGCCCACGCCCCTGTTACCGTTGCGCACGCACCTGTTGCTTATGCGCATACACCTGTTGCTATTGCGCATTCACCTGTTGCCATTGCGCATACACCTGTTGCCATTGCGCATACACCTGTTGCATATGCGCACGCACCTGTTGCTTATGCGCACGCACCTGTTGCTTATGCGCACGCACCTGTTGCTTATGCGCATACGCCTGTGGCCTTGGCATCGCCTCTATCAGCAATCAGTCACCACAGCAGTACCGTCCTACACCGTTAAGCTCAGAATCACCTGTTCATCTTATTTATTTCATCTGTCTTTTTTGTATAATCGCCTCATCATCAGTCTTCAATAAAGTATTGATCGCATTTAGCTCTGGCTGATATTATTTCATGTTTCGAGACTGAGTAATGTAACAAAATCGAGAATGAACTTTTCATTTGTCCTAAGCTGTTGCCATTGAGCACGCACCTGTTGCTATTGCGCATACACCTGTTGCTTATGCGCACGCACCTGTTATAACAATAATAATAAAAATAATAATAATAATAATAATAATTTTATTCATCCTTTATGATCACAGAGTACATGATATAGAACAAATCATTAAAATAAAGTGCTAAACTGTATATACTCTAACGATAGTATCGTCACGAATATATCTCACATTCACTAATAGAATAAACTATGTGTTTGGTTTAAACATTCAGATAATTTCACATAAAATTTTTTTGAGTTTTCGCGAAAAATGTTTCGTGCTGACGTATTTTGGTAGATCATTCACGAATAGTAAGACAATTAACGGACCTAGAATTGATCCTTGCGGTACACCAGAGTCCACGTCATATGGAAGGGATCTCTTACCGTCAATTCTTACAATAATTTTTCTAAATTCAAGGTATGAAGCGAGCCATGAGAGAAATTTCCCCCGAAAACCTAATTCTCCCAGTTTATTAATTGTAATATTAGTATTAATTGAGTCGAAGGCCTTCGAGAGATCAAAGATCAGTGCACCTACGTACCTTTTCCTGTTGCTTATGCGCACGCACCTGTCCCTTATGCGTATGCATCTGTTGCTTATGCGCACGCACCTGTTGCTTATGTGCATACGCCTGTGGCCTTGACATCGCCACTATCAGTATTCAGCCACCACAGCACAGCAGTACCGTTTAAGATCGTCAAGTTCTGAATCACTTGTTCACCTCATTTATTTTATCTGTCTTTTTTGTATAATCGCCTCATCGTCAGTCTCCAATAAGGTATTGATCGCATTCAGCACTGGCTGATATCGTTTCATGTTTCAAGACTAAGCCATGTGACGAAATCGAGATTGAACTTTTTATTTGTCCTATAACCTGTTGCATTGCGCCACACCTGTTGCTATTGCGCATACACATGTTGCTTATGCGCATGCATTTGTTGCTTATGCGCATACGCCTGTAGTCTTGGCATCGCCAGCAATCAGCCACCTAAGCAGTACCGTCCCACATCGTTAAGTTCTGAATCACTTGTTCATCTTATTCAGTGCATCTGTCTTTATTGTATAATCGCCTCATCTTCAGTCTTCAATGAAGTATTGATCTCAGTTAGCACGAAATCGAGAATGAACTTTTCATTTGTCGATCAGTTTATTTCACGTTACAAAATAATGAACGGAAACCGATCGGAAGAACTGGAATCGAGATTGCCTCGCGTTTCGATGAGGAAGGAAGCGTTTCTATTCCAGGAAACTATAAAAAACTACGAAACTTTAGTCGCAAGGGTGCATTGACTTGCCGACCCAACGTGACGTCACGTGACGTGCTATGGCATGCACCACCAACCGAGGGGTGAGAATGTGGGTCAATCGATGTAAAGTGTAATGAGCTATTATTGAACAAGAAGACAATAATAATTTATATACATTACCGGATTCTGGCCGACTGTAATCATACAGAGAAGTGTACAAAAAAGGGCTAGTACTGTATCTTCTGAATCATTCGATAAAGCATTTTGATAATTGGTGAGTAGCAAGTATACAAGTATAAACCATTTTTGTTCATCAGTTCCAGTTTCACCGGAAACGACCCAAACTTCTGATATTTTAATGGGACACCCTGTATTGTATACCATAATTCCGGGTTTGATAGGGTTATTTCAAATGATCACGAATATATTCGCGTTAGAAATTTTCATGCTAATTATTGGTTATAGGAGGAGTTTTGTAAAAGGGTTGTACACTCTAGTGGAATTTACGCCACATACTATTTCATATTGTTTATTCCGTGTATAAATTTATAATTTCCTATGTTAAATTATTATAACAATTTGCACCAATAGTGATATTAGTTGATATATTCCTCAACAACCAATGAGAGCATAACCACATATTTCGACGCTACCAAATGTATACTTGATAATCAACTATTTGATTCAACATTATGATCAATGGCAACAGTATTTACATTCACCTGGTCCCTATAATAATCACTTACTGAATTCTTATAGCTAGCTGTATATCTTGCAAAATGGTTCAGTGATAGAGATCTTTTCTATACCCAAACTATTTTGAAACCCTGGCAACAGCGTAACTCTCAGAGTTCACAGAAATATCAGGAAAAGAAGAACTCAAACGTAATCTTCTAACTAACCCCAACCTCGTCTGTCGTCTTCATCGTCAGAACCTGTCGTCTAGCCAAGGAATAATGTATCTAAGTTTGTCGGTCTCATTTTGACTTAACCTGTACAAAATTGTTGTCCCCAAAAACCACCAACATGTATGTACATGAGTACGTCCCTGATCAGATAAGACATTTCAAATTTGTTCTAAATCGACACAGTATGTATTCAGTAGACGAATGAATCTTTTTATTTTTTTTTCTATTTTTTTTTTCTGAAGACAGCATAGGTACATACCTCTAGCGCTGGTAGCTGAGTCTGCGATTTTCTGGAAAGCATCCAAATAGGCTGTGACCGCCAAGATAGTAGCCCTATAAACACAAAACTACAGATAAAAAAGTGATTGCATCATTCTTAATTTATACATGTTCTCTCAAGTAAATGAATGACTTGAATAAACTCAAATACACTCAGTTCCAAAAAAAGTGACGCACTTGATATTTGACCTATCTTCTTAAGAAAAAAAAAAATAGTAGCCGATTTTTTTCAATTTGTTGGTAGGTAATGCATTTGTCTTTAAAAAAAAATAAAGAGGTGAACATTTTTTCAAAGCCTCCTTGATGGTGGTGGAATAACTCGAACCATGATCAATTCTTAATTTTTGACTCACCCTGTGTGTTAATTGAGTAATGGCATAGAAAGTGCTCGCACCCTATACGAAAGAGGCTTCTTTTGCTAGCATTTTGTTTTTTTATTCATTGATTTATCTCTAAAATTTTCCGAATTACAGCTGTTTTACTGATACTTTACGCTTATTCCACAAATTAAATTTATTGAAGGATCAGAGTACTCAAAAATTGATTGGGTTGTACTCTGGTAGGATCACATTGTCTTTAAAAAAACAAATGCCGTTGCCATAGCAACTAATTTGTTGTATGCCTTCATATTTGACCATTTGTCGTTGTGTCATTAATTAAGTGTCTTGTTTTATTGACTAAAATTACATAAAATGCCTCAAATAAATCTTGAACAAGTAGCAAGATTAGTTGCGTAAGTAAACGATGGGCGTAGTAAACGGCGGCCTACTATTTTTTGTTTCTTTTTTTAAGAAGATAGGCCAAATATCAAGAGCGTCACTTTTTTTGGAACTGAGTGTAAAACTCAAAACAGAATACTAGCACTAGCTGCCAGTGTTTACTGAATCGTCCTAACCCAAGAAATAAATCCCTCAAGAAAATTTTCATAGGTACTAGTTCCACAAAAAAAAGGAATATGCCAGTATGCACCCTGTATATTCCCAACATTGTGTATGTTCAAACACCTACAGAATCAATCTCATTATTCCAAATGGCAAGACAGTTTGGAACGCCTTAATATTCAAATTCTATCACACATTAGCATATTATTTTCGACACTATCCCACTATTACGTCATCAAGTCAAATAGATATTATGCCTATGATATTAATTTATTCTCTGTAATTTGGTTATCTAACTGCATACAGGAGCTCCTTCATTGCAGTTCGTCATAGTGTTTATGTTTGAACTTCTCTTCGGTCGGGAATTGATAATTTTAAATGGCCACTATTCATATCGAAGTAATGGGCCATGAAAGGACATGCACCTATTTTTGATTCGATGTGACCTTGAAGCCGATGAAACGCCACAAATTCGATATACAGGGTGAACAATAAAAAGTGCAATAGGGACGACTGAAGGATGAAATCCGTCCGAATCTTTTTCAATCGATGAATGATGAGTTACATTCAATGTATGTACGATCAATATGTGTTCAGTATCATACTGAAGATTTCATGTTTTACTTGTTCATCCTCCTTATATGAGAAATTGGAGGTTGTTGTCATGAAAATAAAAAACAAACAATTTTGAATGAACAATTTTGGAAACCTCACGAAGCATAATTATTCTAGAATGAAAAATAGATTGACAAAAGAAATACAGTCCATTCGAGCACTAGCATTGATCCGGCTCGAAGGACCACGATGTTTTAAAAAAACAGTGGTCTCCCCATTGGCCATTGTTGATTTTCAAATGTGTATTTTCAATTAATTCTTGGTCGTCAAGGTCTTAAAACAGACCACAAAAGATAATAGCTTATAAAATGAATAAGACTTACTTGAGAGACGAGTGAAGTTTTGTTGCTTTGGTGATAAGGTCCTCCCATAACGGCATCCCATACTGAAAACAGAAAACGAAGAAAGTAAAGCCGAAAACTCACTCTAAAGTCTAAAGATACTGGTGATAGGTACTATATTTTGCTGTTTTTTCCACTTGCAACCTTTTGTTTAAAATGTATTCAGCTCCTATAAACGTTTGCTACAATGCTACAAATGTCCCTGAAGTTCCAGATAACTTTCCTCCAAATTCCAAAATATCAAAGAAACATTAATATCGATCTGGCGATCGTATCACCTTCTATAAGATTAATTAGAGCTATATAACACGAAATAGCAATAAGACTTTCTCTCATTCGTCAGATCAAAGTAGATGGTTATGCATTAGGAATATCGTAACCAAGGATGCCTTGGTCACGAAAAAGTATCGTTTGAGCGACTCACTGAATATCCTTTTTTTATTAGTACCTACCCAACCTACGATGCTTATTAAAAGAACGCCCCATTTGCTTGTTGAATTAAACTTTCAAAAACGCAAGTTTTTCAATAAAGTTACCATGGCAACACACAGCAACATGGCAGGTGTACATATTCTGGTGGCAATGCATCATGCATTTTTTTTAAACAAAGAAACAACATGGCGGCTCCAAAATGGCGGACGAGTTTCGTAATTATGATCCGATTCTATTCAAAATTAGTATCTCGGGGTTTTCGAGGTCGGAGATTATGGATATTCCGTGAAAATTGGTGAATTCAAGATGGCGGTCGAGTTTTGTTTTCTTGATCTGGTCTTATTCAAAATTGGTATCTGGAGGTTTTCGGATTCTTTCGTCAGAATTGGTAAATTCAAGATGGCGGATCCAATATGGAGGACGAGTTGAAAAAAAGAGGAACCGATTCAACTTCGAATGTAACCGAAATGTAAATACAATAATTTTCGAGACAAGTTTGTCGTGTTGTATACTCAGGTTGTACTTATATATCGTCAAGTTTTTTACTTTTACTATGAATTACCATCAAGTATCGGTTCTAGGACAAAAATCTTTCTTATAATCTCGACTAAATGGAACAATCTCCATACCAATTCGTTGACTATATTATACTTTCATATTGACACAAAAACAGGAAAACCACAAGTTGAAAAACGAAACCAAAACACGGCCGGATTAGTTAAAAATATAAAGATTAGGATTTGTTGAGTTACTAACGGTTCCTGTCTATGCCGATTGCTGACTCATATGGCGTTATTTCAATCGAAATATAAACAAAGTTCAAAAGAGGCGTAAACAATCGACCCCTTATCTCTGGAATCGTTGAAATAGGACTGCGTGTAAAGGTCTAAAGCTCGGTCTAAAGATAGGAACAAAATTACTCAAAATTTCTTCATTGCATTGAAAAATACGACTTGAATATTCATCTGTATTTTGATCCATGTTTGATGGAATTTATGCATTTGATTCAATCTCAGATCAACAAGATAGGACTATTCAACCCGATTCAACCAATATACCTATCTTTTGACCTCGCCTTTGACCATTCCTGTGAATTCAAAGATATAAAAAAATGTTTCTAAATGCAGCCTAAGCGAAACTTTTGTAAGAGAGTCGATAATCAATGCTTTTATTGCTTTTGTGTACGTTTAAGAACTCATTGACCACATGTTATTTACCGTTAATAATGAGACCCAAGCAAATATCTGGCAGACCAAAGTGGCAAATAAGAGATGGTGTGAATACACAGTGGCGTAACAATAGGGAGGCAGGGCTGGTGAAATGTTACGAACCCCCGAAGGAATACAATATAAAGAAAAGACACATCGACAAATCGAAACTAGCTGAACATAATATCCTGACTGAAGACGGACAACATATTATGGCAGAGTGGAATAATATTAAAATCATTGGAAAAGAAGATAACAAGAAGAGAAAAATCAAGGAATCTGCTTGCATTCTTCTGAACGGAGCCAATAGCATTGCTTCTTGTTCAGTTGATATAGACAGAACATGGTATTCACTACTAAAATCTGAACATGAAAATGGTCAATTCAAGATTAATTAATGAAAACATCCTGTAACTCATTTGATTGCCAACGTCACCAATTGTCAATGAAAACTGAAAAGCTTCAAGACATATACGACTTTGCTGTTAAAATAGTCTTTTCTTATGTTGAAATCGGTTCCGAAACGTCCAAAGATAAGTGAAAATTGAAATAATATTCATATTTTTATTTTATAGAAACGAAGAGAAAATCCCAAAAAATTTGGAATAATGAATAGTCAAATATGTTAGTCAGTGTGCATTTTTGTTCGATTTGATTTTATGTGAAACAAATCGATTCACCTAAAGATCGAACAGAAGAAGATCGATCGAAAACATCGATTTTTTTCAGATTGATCTTAGAAAAAATCGATTCAAGATTGCCATCCCTAAGCAACACTGTGTTAGTCTATGTTAGGAGAATTCCGGATTTGATATATTTTCAAGAGGGCTCTACTGACTGCCTATTCTTTGTGTGATTATTTTGACAATTGGTGATTTATATCTTTGATTTTTCGTATTTGTTCTTTTATTGAATATGAAAATGGTGGCAAAGTACAGTTGATTGTGAAAGTTAGATATTAAAATGTCTAGTTCCAGAAAATATTCAAGTTCAATTTTGACACTCACGTGCCTATTTATCTTGAAAACTGTTTGTTTGATTCACAAAAATCAGCCTCTAATTAAAGGAATCTCTCTGGATCTAAATGTATATACTAGGAATAAAAATTATATTAAACTACCAATACCAAAGACAACGCTTACCAAAAATTCTGTGATTTATGAAAGCAAAAAAATTTATAATCATCTGCCACAGCATTTTAAAGCAATCAAGAATTTGAAAAAATTCAGAAAAAGTGTTGCGGATTTTCTCTTACCAAGAGCATTTTATCACCTACAGGAATATTACGATGAGAGATTCTAGGTTGCGACTCATATATAGGTATTTCAGCAAGATTATTATGATTTTACTTTTTTTTTTAATGGTGTTTGTTCAAATTTACATAATGTACCTATTTGTATTTTTTCGTATGTTTTTACAATGTTGACTTCATCATATTACTTTAAACTGGACACAGTGGAAATCCACTAGAATAATTTTAAACCATGCTTTGTCATTAAGAAATATTATTCTTGGACAATAAATCACAGTATTGATTGATTGATTGAAGTGGGAGCGAAAGAATTTGCCACGGGCCCCAGATGGTATAGTTACGCCACTGTGTGAATACCTATAAACAATACACCAAGTCGCATTAAATTCCAATAAGTTATAAAAAACTTGACCTAGTCCATGCTTACCGATTTATGTTTGGTGCCGATGATTGAAATGTATGCAAATATATGCGAGACCGCTATATATGCACGAAAGCTGAGTCGAATACCGTGTTTAAGACACTCGAAAAAAATAAGTAATTACTGTTTATGGCTCATAAATATATTGGTTTATGAATTAAAAAGCAAAGTGACGAGACACAACGGAACATCTGTTATCCATTCATTTTGTAGACCTTGATCTTGTAGGTATCTTGTATCTTATCTCTCGGTCCCATTTTTATGCTAAATAACGACGGACGTAGTAAGATATCCCGTTCAACTGGATCGCCCAGTACATAATATAACTGAACATGCCATTTAATCGTGACGTAACTTTCGGCATGTGCCGTTCAAAGTATAAACGAAAATTCAGTACAAAAGGTACCTACTTGGCAGATGGACGTATACGAAAAGAGCAGCTGTTGATTTCTTGCAAGGTTATAGGATTTCTTGCACATATCTTATACAGAATAAGCGGTATTATCATATCAACGATTTGTTGGAAGCAATTTCATGTCCAGTACACAGCTTTGCGGATGATAGTACCCTCCATACCGCCTTCTCTTCCAGGGCTCCAGTACCAGCCAGGCAAATCAGAAACGAACGAGGGAGAAATGTTGACAACATAAATATGGACTTGGCAACAATTCTCGAATGGGGATCCAATAGCTGTAGATTTCAATGCAAACAAAACACAAGCATGCCTTTTCTCTAGAAGAGCCGATCTCACTGTGCCCAACATAAGCTTGTCAAGAGTAATCATACCTTTGAAGACATCCATTTCGATGCTTGGTACTACTATCAGGGGAAAATCACGTGAGATCAATTGCTAAAAGTGCATCTGTTTCGGGCCAGGAGCTATTTCACTTTCAGTCAGCTGCTTATGATCTATAAGGCACAGATCCGAGCTGTCCTGGAATACTGTTCCCATACTCGGAGTGCAGCACCCAAACATACCCTAAAACTGTTGGATTCTGTCCAAAAAAGGGCAATTCGTCTCGTGGGTGATGCCTCGCTCACAAACTCACTCACTTCTCTGGAACACCGTAGAAAAGTTGGCGATCTGGCTCTATTTTATAGATATTTTCATGGACGATGCTCTCCTGAAATATCAACAATTGTTCCTCCCTTGGCAGTCCCCGCGAGATTTACCCGTAGAGTTGAGGCTTCGCACCCCTTCGTGATCACTTTGGAGACCTGCAGAACATCTCTTCCAAAGACTCGTTCATCCAACGAACATCGAGGCTCTGGAAAACATTGCCAAGGGAGATGTTACCCGAGGCATATAACCTTCAGAAATTTAAGAAGAACACCAATGCCTACCTTATTTCCCTTGGTTCTCACGATGTTCTCTGAACATTACAGGATATCCCTTTTCGTGGGAATCAGAACATAAGAAACAATTTAGAAAACTTCTCGGAAATCTTTCATTGATATTTTTCATGACTGGACCAGGGAGGGGGGGGGCAAACGTTCACCCATGCCCCTCCTTGGCTACGCCAATGGGCCCTAGGGAGGCCAAAACTGCGGGTGCCTATGGCAACCACGACTGCAAATCCGCGCCACTGGGTATTACATAAGAAAATATTATTGCATGAGAGCCAGGCCAGAAGCGAGGCCATAATCACCCAAAAACAACATCATAATGCAGAAGGCAGGTATAAAATCGAATCCAGATGGCCTTTTGCACTGGTAATCGGAAAACTTGAT